GGTCGAGGCTGCGGTGGCCGGGAGCGGCCGCTGCACTCCAGTCTGGGCGACAGATGAGACTCCAGCTCAAAAATCAAAAGAACCACCGGAAGGCTGGAAAACACCACCTAGAGTGGAGGCCCAGGGCTCTGCATTCTGCAGGCTGAATGGGACGGGAGGGGCAGAGGACTCGTCTGCAGGGTCCCCGTCTTCATCGCACCGGCCAGGCCTGTGTTTCCATCAGACACACAGATCCAGGTTGGAGTTCAGTTTGGGATCGGGGCTCAGCCCGGGGTTGGTGGGGGTCGACACTCAGTGTGAAGTTTGAGATCTGCCCAGACTCGGGGTACGGTGACCGTTAGGGCTCAGCCCAGGCTGGAGTTCATTTCAGGGTCAGCCTGATGGCAAGGTCAGCCCAGTCTGGGCGCGGTGGCTCATGCCTGCCATCCCAGCACTTTGGGAGGCCGAGATGGAAGGATCGCTCGAGCCCAGGAGTTCGAGACCGGCCTGGACAACACAGCAACACCTCATCTCTACAAAAGAAAATTTTAAAATAGCCAGGTGTGGTGACTTAGGCCAGTAATCCCAGCCCTTTGGGAGACTGAGGCAGAAGGATCGCTGGAGTCCAGGGGTTCAAGACAAACCAGAACAACATAGCAAGACTTTGTCTCTGCAAAAAAAAAAAAAAAAAAAATAGCCAGGTGTGGTGGCCCACATCTGTAGTCTCAGCTACTCAGGAGACTGAGGCAGAAGGATCACCTAAGTTCAGGAGGTTGAGGCTGCAGTGAGCCATGTCCGTGCCACTGCACTCAGGCCTGGGCAACAGAGTGAGACCCCAGCTCAGAAAAAGAAAAAAGGTCAGCCCAAGTCTCGGGCCCGGCCCCTTTCTGCTCTGCCTTCTCTACTTGGCTGGCCGGTACCCCGGACTCCTCCCTGCTACTCCCGGGGCCCGGGAAGGAGTGGAAGAATCTCCCCACCACCAGTGGCCCGGCCTGCACCTCCAGTTTCATCTGCACGTCCTCCCGGGCTGTGGCCACATGGTCCAGGTGCTTGCTGGCCGACTCCACCTGGCTGCAGTAGCGCCCGTATATGAGAAACCTACAGAAAGATGGCAGGCCTTCAGGTAAGGGAGGTCAGTATCAGGGTGTCAGTCCCGGCCCCTCCCCAGCTGGATAATCTGAGGGTCTCAGAGTATCCAGTCTCCTCATCTGTGAAATACGCGTAACTATAGCACCCCCACCACCGCATGGTGTTATTGTAGCATTAAATGAGATAACTTGGGAGGTCGAAGCTTGCTTGAGCCCAGGAGTTTGAGGCCAGCCTGGGCAACATAGTAAGACCTCATCTCTAAAAAAAAGTTAACGAGACGGGGTGGTGTGCTCCTGTACTTCCAGCTACTCGGGAGGCTGAAGTGGAAGGATTACTTGAGCTAGAAGGTGGAGGCTGCGGTGAGCCACGATCATGCCTCAGCACTCCAGCCTGGGCAACACAGTGAGACTCCAACTCACAAAAAAAAAAAAAAATGAGATAACGCACAAGAGGCTCTTACCACGGTGCCTGGTGCCTCATTTCTGCCCAGTGTTGATGCTTTAACACGTATTGAGCGCCTCCTGTAGGCCAGGCCTGTGCTAAGCGCTTTACATGCCCCTTCAACCCTCGCCACAAGCCTAGGTACGTTCCTGTGTGACACTGATGTACAGATGAGGAAGCGGAAGCACAGAGAGGTTAAGTGGACACTCAGCGCCACGCAGCAGAACCAGAAATTAAGCCAGAGATGGGCAGCCCCTTGCCGGTGGTCTCTGAGGTCCCGAGCGCTCAACAGGGCAGTGACCCCTCCCCAAGGCTCTGGTCTGGCAGGTGGACCTCACCTCTCCTTGTATTTGATGAAGATTTGGTAGAGGGTGGATGCACCGGGGGCAGCCAGGGCTTCCTTCATCTCCTTGAGGAAGTGTGTGTGCACGCGGAGGAGGTCCTACTCGGAGGGAAGGGTAGAGGCTGGGCCAGAGCCCCGGACTGGGCAGGGAAGAGCCATCCATCAGCCCTGTGGACTTCCAGCCCCCACACTCTGGGGCCAGCTGGGGCTCGCAGATTTTCCCCACTGGACAGAGGCCCAAGGGGACCAGGGGGTGCTGTCTCACCTCAATGTTGACAAAGATGATCTCAATGTCTTGAGGTTTCAGGAACCGTTGCAGGGGCTTCAGGAAATGCTGGGGGAGGGGAACAAGAGTGGGGGAGATGAGAACCCCTCCTCTCTCAGCCCAATCCCAGAAAGACGAGGACAAGCAGAGACAGAAACAGACAGAAACAGAGACAGAGAGGCACACCGTGGCTCATGCCTGTCATCCCAGCACTTTGGGAGGCTGAGGCGAGAGGATTACCTGAGGCCAGAGGTTTGAGACCAGCCTGGGCAACCTGGCGAGACCTCGTCTCTATAATAAATAAATAGCCAGGCGTGGTGGCGGGTGCCTGTGATTGCAGCTACCTGGAAGGCTGAGGCAGAAGGATCGCCCAGCAGGTTGAGGTTGCAGTGGCCGTGAGTGTGTCCCTGCACTCCAGCCTGGGTAACAGAGTGAGACGCCGACTCAAAAAAAACAAAAGAAAAGAAAGAGAGAGGTGGAGAGAGAAAGAGAGACAGCGACAAGGAAACAGGTAGAGAAAGAGACAGATTTTTTTAAAACACGAAACAGTCCACACAAAATCTTGCACATTAATGTTCATAGTAGAATTATTCATAACAACCCCAAATTGGAAACAACCCAAATGTCCATCAATAGATGAATGGATTTCTTTTCCCTTTTGAGTCAGGGTTCTCACTCTGCTGCCCAGGCTGGAGTGCAGTGGTGTCACCATAGCTCACTGCAGCCTCCAACTCCTGGCCTCAAGCAATCCTCCTGCCTCAGCCTCCCAAAATGCTGGGATTACGGGTGTGAGCCACCGCCCCCGGCTTTTCTCTTTTTTTCTTCTCATTCTATAGCTCCTTCTTCCTCAGTGTGTCTCTCTCTCCCTCTGCTGCTGTTCCTGAATCTGCCTTCTCCTGTATCCTTGTCTCTGGCTGTCTGTCGGCCTCTCCCTAGTAATGTTTCTATGACTTTCTCTCTATGGCCTCTCTCCCCTTTCTCCATATCTCTTAAAACAGCTGTATTGGGAATTTGTGGGTACACCATACAATCTACACTCTACCCATTTAAAGTATTTAAACCATTTAAGTTCAATGATTTTCATTATACATTCACAAGATGATGCAACCATCACCACCGTCTAATTTTAGAACATTTTCATCACCCCAGAAGAAATCCCACACCCTTAGTTCTCACCCCTCAATTTCCATTCCTCCCCCGGTCCCTGGCAAATACAAATCGACTTCATGTCTCTGTGGACTGGGCGGCTCTATAGATTTCATTTAAATGAAATCACACACTGTGTGGCCTTCTGTGTCTGGTCTCTCATGGAACGTGACGTTCTTAAGGTCCATCCACATCATGGCCCGTGTCAGAGCCTCCTTCCTTCTCACGGCTGCCATATTCCATGTGTGGATGGACCGTGTTTTAAAAATTCATTTATCAAGGTCCCTGGCCCTAAACCAGGAAAGTGAGGACCTGCTGGAGGCCCAAACTTCGCCTGCACGTAGACCACTTCATATCTTGACTTATACTCCATGTCTTTATAATAAAATATAGTTAAAAAAAAATCTATTCATCACCACATGAGACCCAATCCCCACCACTACACAATATGGCCATTTAACGAACATGCATGTGTACCCCCTGAATCAAAAATTTAACTTTTTAAAAAAATCCCCTGTCATCCCGCGCCTTTGGGAGGCCGAGGTGAGCGGATGGCCTGAGCCCGCGGGTTCGAGACCCGCCTGGGCAGCGAGACCTC